TTAGGAACCAATTGATTATTTTTTTAATGAATATCATCATTGTTTATTATTATTGTTATTGTTACTATCAGCATTGTTGTTATAACTATTATTATTATTACTATTATTATTATTACTATTATTATTGTTATTATTATTATTATTATTATTATTATTATTATTATTATTTTAGTGAATGAGTGAGCATGAGAATTTCAAACTGCATGGCTTACAGTTGTAACAATGATGTTATTCAAAGAAAGTTAGATTATTATGGATTCAGTCAAAATGCTTAACTAACAGACAGCACAGCAGCCACAGAATAGTGCACACAACCACACACTTGTACATAGGAAGCCATAAACTTGCACATGCACAACCACGTTTGTGCATACGCATTTACATATGAGCACCCCCACCCCCATCACATACATACACACAAATGCAGAATTAATTAATTAGGTTTAGAAAAAAAAAATGTTTAGATAAATAAAAAAATCCTTGAGCATGTGATTATTTTAATGACACAAGTTGGGTTCCACAATTACAAATGTTCTAGAGGTAATAAATTCACCCACAGTCACACAGATACATGTATATTCACATACTGTTATATTAGTATTGAATATTTGTAAGAATAGATAGATTATTATCTGCCTTCTTCATCTGTGCATCTTTCTCTTTTTCTCAGTATCAAATTATTCTCTGTCTTCTCCTTTTCTTCTTCATCTTCTGCTGCTTCTTCTTCTTCTCTTCTTCTCCTCTTCTCATCTTTTCCTTCTTCTTCTTCTGCTGCTTCTTCTTTTCTCCATTATTGTTTATGAAGATACAGTGACTTGAAAGAAAAAACAATATCTCTCTCTTTCTCTTTTTCTTTCTCTTTTTCTCTTTCTTTCTCCTTTTCTTATCCTTTTTTTCTTCATCATCTCCCATCTTTTCCATCATTATCAGGTTCTTTTTCCTCCTTCTATTTAGGTATTATGAAAATTTAAACAATAAATTCTTGATTTATTTTATCTTAGAATAATTTTTTGTTTTCTTGTTATTGTTTCTTTTTTATCATATTCTTAGTCATTTAACTGCCATTTTTATTATCTTTAATATTTAAACCTGTTACAGAAAATGTTTTTTGTTATTATTATTATTATTATTATTGAGTTTGTTATCATTATTATTACTATCATTACTTAGCATTTCATTTCTTTATGGTCATCATTGCCTTCATGATCAATGTCTGAATCATTGTATTAGGTAAGATTTGCATTTCTTTTTGGTTCACTTTTTTCCTGTAACTTCTTGAGTGCTATTCTTTATTTTTTTTCCTTTTTCGGATTTTACTTTTCCTATTCTCTTTTTATCTTCCTTTTTTTTTCTCCTGAGGAAAATTATTTTATTTATGTCTCATAGTGTGTTCTTCCTTTTTTCTCCCTTCCCTTCCTCCAGGGTGACATGTCCCCTCCGGACAAGGACCGCAGCACCAGGGTCTCCGTCAGCAACGAAAACAATATCCTCTTGGACCCGGAGGTGCTGACCGAGTTCTCGACCCAAGCCCTTGTCCTCACGGTCTTGGCCACCCTAGTGAAGTACACCACGGACGAGAACGAGATGAGAGTGCTGTACGAATACCTGGCTGAGGCTTCAGTCGTCTTCCCCAAGGTCTTCCCTGTCATGTGAGTACTTGGTTGATTTTTCGATGGACTCGGTTGGTTTTCGATGAATTCTGTAATGATAGACTGGGTCACAGAAGCTGCTTGCTCTTTGGAGTGTTTTTTGTTATTGTCAAGTAATTTGCTTGGTTTAGCTTTTATTTGGATGCTTTCTGATAAGGAGGGCCTTAAATGACATGCCACAACATATATTTGAGGGTATACCCTTTACATGAGCAAGATTTTGAAAGAGTCATTTTAAATATGTTTTATAAATAGCAATTATGTAAATTTTATATGTGATTTTTGCTTCTGATCCTTTCCAGCCACTCCCTTCTGGATGCCAAGATCACCTCGGTGCTGTCCTTGTGTCATGATGGTGTGATCCTGAGTGCTGTTCAGTCTATAATTCAGAATATGGTAGCTTGTGAGGACCAAGGACACCAACAACTGCATGCTCTTCAAAGCTGGGGATTCGGAGGGCTGTGGAGATTTGCTGGCCCGTTCACCAAGGTAGCTTTTGTGTGTGTGTGTGTGTGTGTGTGTTTGTTTTTGTGTGTTTGGGAGGGTTAGGAGGGGCTCAAAAACACCAGCAACACCATTGGGATTCTTTCATTTAAAATAAAAGAGTGTACATGTCTGGCATGTATGAATATTTTTTATCTTGAAAAAAAAAAAGTGAAATATGCTTCTCAATGTGCAGAAAAGTGGCTATACCTTGTGTAGACAAAAGTTTTTTTGTTTTTTTTTTCTATTTAAGGTAACCTAATGGTATTTTATGGCCAAAGTTTGTTGACAGTTCTCTGGTTTCTGCAGAGTAATTGCACAGCAGAGAATGCAGAATTGTTTGTCAACTGCTTAGAAGCCATGGTGGA